AAATTTAAGGCTGAACAACAAGAAAAATATTTTAATGGCAAGATCTGTTCAATAGTGAAAGGGTCTTCTAAGGGTACTCAGAAAGATCTTTCTTTAAAGTCCTTTGAAATTATGACCAGGACCAGAAAATATGCTGTAGAGAACAATCCTGCCCCGACTAAAAGGGATGGATTCTGCATTTTGCATCATAAGAGCAAGGTCTGCAGGTTTTTTTGTGGCATAATACTCTTCCAGAAGCTTTGGATATGGTATTTCTGAGACTGATATGACGTACAGCAGATTGGTAATAGATGATGTTGTGCATTCTGGAGGAATCTGAAAGTTGGTGACTTTAACAACCTTATGTGTTTCCTGGCTGCCCCTCTTCTCCATCCATTTTCAAAGAAGGTGGGAAGAACGTAACAGTTTTACCTTGTCTTATGAAAGCTTCAATTATTGTTGCAATGATTAATTTTGCCTTTATGAATGATGTAGATGGCTTATACCATTGGTGAGGACTTACCATCAAGGGCTCTGCAAAATCTGGCAAATTTCCAACTAGCAGACCAGCTAAAGTACAAATCACAACTGTCACTGAACAGAGCACCAGGACAGCTACAGGCCACTCAGCAATCACTTGGGAATAACTGGAAGCAACACAAGAAAAGAAATATAGCTGTTAGCACACTGCTGATATTAAGTTAGATATTGAGCACAATGTTAGAAAAAGGAAATTAAATAGAACGAAGGCTTCCTGGTTTTGGAATGTATTTGTGGAAAAGCTTAGGGATGTAGTTCAATGAATAATGAAAATGTTGTCTCCAACTGGATGTTTACATGTAGTCCTAATTAACTTGGGTAATTGCGTTCTCCCTCCCTCCATTTCCTTGTTTTTTCAGTTGGAAATAATAAAAACCAGGCACTTGCATCCTAGGGCAAAATAAGCCTGTAAATATTTAACTGAAAAAGATTCCCTTTGAGAAGGCTTTTTCCCCGCTTCTTCTTTTTGTTGTGCAGACCAAACTAGCAGCTGCATGAAGTCAAGTGCGTAACTGATGAAAAGTGGCATGAAACCACAGATCTCACTAGGATACACACAGTAGGTAATTAACTTGTAGAACTTCTGCCACAAGATGGTACTGAATCTTGCTAAAATCTTGCTTATATTATTCAGTGTATGAGTATATATCTGGAAAAGGACTCTTTTGCTGATATGTATTGTATTTTCACTCTAAGGGTTTGCCACTATAGCTATACTGGTAGTTTATACTGGCACATCTTTTCTAGTGCAGCCTAGACCCAATTGCCTAGAGTTTTTTGTACTTTCTTTAGAAGTACTTGGAACAAGCTGTTGTTGGAGACAGGATACTAGACTAGACACTCCTTAGTCAGATCTGGTAAGTTTCTAAATATTTCTGGCCTTCTGAGGTTTAAAATTACTTGTCAGCAAATAACTTGGATGAATGTTACGTTCAGGAACCTCACGCTTATGGCAACTGTACTGACGGGCTTCAATTGTGAGGTATAATGCACTTGCTAGCCCAGTCCTTTGCCTCTTTTGAGCCAGAAGGTGCAGTCACAAGACACATTTACACCAATGTAATCTGCCTTCACACCAGTGTAAACATGGAAAAGCATGTAACGTGCAGATCTTTAATCATTCTCCTTCTTTTCTATTTAAATTTGAGGAAAAGGGGTCAAGAAATAAGGGTGACTGGTAACATTTTCATTTGTCTTTTCTATTAAAAATGTTGTTTTTTGTAAAATGTACCTAGATTTGCTACAATTATTTTTCCATCACAAATTATTCCTCTTCACTCAGAGATTGCATCTTGCAGCATTTTACACCTCTGCAAAAATATAGTCATCTAAATTTAATTTGTACAGCTTCTGGTACATTATATATATAAAAAACTAGGACACACTACATAGAGACTTGAAAAGCAAGTCTCCACCACCAAATACCATGAAAAACAAAGTTCTGAAGCTGTTACTACTATTTCATTCACAGAGCAATCTTGGGCACATCTACACATCACCCTGTGACAACGTAGCAATGCACTACATTGCTGTATGGCGTGCTATGGCAATGTAGTTTTCATGCAGGTCTACATGTGATCTCCAATTACATCATCATAGCAGCACGCTCCCCTAGTATAGCGCGCCACTTCGGCAACATAGTGGCAAAATCTAACCATGCAGCATGTGCATAGTGCAGTAACCGCCTGTACTGCACAGTGCTTTAGTACACAGCACCGTAGCAATGTCACTGTATGGAGAAGTGTAGATCCCCTGAGTCTAAACGTGTTCCAGTTCTCAGTTCTGAAATGCAAGCTCCATGTGAATCCACTGCAATCTCTTAACAGCAGCAACATTAGTGTTATATTTTATCCATGTGTCTTAGTGTCACAGCACTTTACCTGGCAGATAACAATTGTAATAGGGGGAATGAAGGACTAACAAGTGGAGTGACTTGCTAAGGTCTCTTGAAAAGTTAGTGGCAGAGCTGTGCATAGCGTCCTGCAGGTTTCCTGACTCCAAGGCTGGCACCTGTCTAGTTAGCCAGGCTGCTTCCTTGGTCTTGCCAGACAAGAAAAATAGATAGAAGTGTTGGATGAGCCAGAGGTAAGTCCTGCTTTGTGAAAAGCTAGATAGACAAAGCAGTGTTTTCTGAATACAAGTTAAATTTGTTTCACAAACAGAAGATGACCTTTCTAAACAGATGGGAAATTCTTAATGCGGAGTTCTGACCTTGCCTCTGAGGCTTCTCCTATCTGGGATGTCACTGGGAATAATATGCTGTGTTTCCTAATAGCATGGTAGGAGAGCAGTGATAACAGGGTAAAAAAGCATTTGATATTAAACATACCTTTTTGGCATCCTGAAGCCTTTGTCATGTCTGCAGAGAGAAAGAGATTCACTGGTGCATTATTTTAGTATGAAACTGAGTGCTATGCTGCTCATAAGCAAGTTAACCGTTTCAGAGACTGAAAAACAACAAATGATGCAGCACATTTCCAGCTGGGAAAAGCTGCAGCATGAATGTAATACTCTAGTGAACAGCACAGCCTCTCACCAGTATTCTAGAGAAGAGTTGATGTAGGCTTGAATCCCGGTCCTAGTTAATAGTTTTATGGAAAAAAATATACAGAATTTAATTTGGCTATAATATAGTCCTGTGGGAATTACATCACTATTCTCTGTACACTCAAGTCTAAAGAGTTTAATACTTTGCTTAATGATTTTTTGACCATTCAATAACAAAGGTTCAAAATTATGGTTCAAAACACAGGTTATTGTTCAATACTATGGGACTTTTACATAAGGGTCAACATTATATGCCTGTTGGGTTCTTTTCAGTGGACAATGTTTGTAGTGAGTGGAGGGCCAATAGGGATATGGAGCTACTCAGAACCATTTGCCAGTGTATCCTTCAAAGGTGGATATTTGTTATTTCTAGTTGCACGGCTCCATGCACTGCTTTGGAAACAAAGCCTCCTTTAAGGATTCCAGGGTTACTGGAAGGTAGCTAACAAACCTTTGAGTGTGAGCTTCCCACTTGCACAGCAACCAAAGTCACATTCAGCTCTGAAGGGCCTTTCCTTCTTCTCTGCCATTTCCCTTAGCTATAAAACCTTATGTCCTCATTCTGCACTGTCGTACATAGCAATGTGCTAGCATACGGAACACTTCCAGCTGTATGGCAACAGCTCTATAGGAATGGAATGGATGGCAGGATGGTAAAACTGAGCAGCAGAATTTGCAAAGCAAATGGAAAGACCCCATACCACGGTAAGAGGTCTACTTGGTGGTGTGTGTTAATTTATAAATAAATCACTTACCACTTTCTTCACTGGACTAAGATGCTCTGGTTTTGTGGGGGTGGTTTTGCCTTGTATTTTAAACAATGGTTACAGTAAGCACAGAAATGCATTTCTATTTTATTTCTCTCACTCATTTTTGCATTAGATTTGCTGAACCATAGAATACTGTCATTTAATCATTTTTCTGACTGCCAGAGCTGCAAAATCTGCCAGGGCTCTTCAAATCTTGCTGTGTCTGCTGCTGAAATAACCTACTATAGAAAATTAAACCAACAGTTTTGTTGACAGTGTGAGGTAAAATAGGATTCAGGTCACACTCCTATGGCTGCAATAGCTCGACAATATAACTCAGGGCTGGGCAGTTATTTTGGGCAGAGGGCTGCTTGCTGAGTTTTGGCAAGCCATCGAGGGCCATATGACAGGCAGCCAGGGGCACATAGATATTACTTTTCTAAATTTTTTAGGGGCCTTGTGGGCTGGATACAATGGCCTGGTGGCCTATGTTTGGCCCGTGGGCCGCATTTTGCCCACCCCTGATATAACTGGTCTTTCTCTGTTAACACCTATAAACTGAGAACAGAAAATGAGCCTTGCTTTGTACCAATGTGTTGGGGTAGAGGTTCCAAGCATTCTCTCTTTCCAAGGTGCCTGTTAACATGGTATTGAAGGGTTTGTCAGTGCCAAGGATGCTCCTAAAAAAACCATATGAAGCCAAGAAGTGTGGTGGTAGGTGGAGGGGGGTAGTGGTATATTATACCAAATTAAAGGCTGCATCCCATATGGAGCCTCTGAGCATTGTTACAGTGCTTCCAGGAACAGGGCTGCCTCAGAAGCAATGCCCCTGGGAGCAAGTGATAATATGCAGCTTTCCCTTATTTCAGTATGGGCAGTGACTTGAAGTCACACATTAATTCTCAGAGGGCAGCTATGTTACCTAAGGGCTTGTCAGTATTGTGGTGGCTGCATGTCCTAGCAGGGACACCCCTGAGCACACTTTGCCTACCCACTCTTGCTTGCACACTCCATACTAAAAGTACATTGCTGAGGTCGCTCAAGGGTCATCGCTAGTGGCTGCTGTCAAACACACTGGAAACTGAGGTCTTGCAGGAAACTGCAGGGGATGACCTTAGACCAGCCCTCCTGATATATCTCCAGTGTTGCCAACTCTCATGATTTTTGGTGTTGTCCTTAAAGTCTATGCTTTGGGAATGTGAAAAATGTAGCTTTCTTTTATATATATTTATATTTATGTATATATATATAAAAGAAAGCTAAATTGTTCACATTTCCGAAGTATAGACTTTAAGAACAATGCCAAAATCATGGGAGTTGGCAATACTGTGTCTCCAAGTGTAGACTGTGCCTGTGGCAGTGGAAGGGTGAAGCATGCTAAGTAGTGCCATTACAATGTCGAAATACCCTTAAAAACTCATTTTTATGATCATAACTGTGCCATGAGAGGGAGCTCTCCTGTTCTGATGGAACATTCCTTCTCCCACAAAGGAAACTCCACAAGTTATTCAGGAGTGCCCAGCACCTTGGCACCTGTACAGCATACATTATAGATCTCAGTCACACTGAAATTCTTCCAGATCAAAGGACATGTGACAGATTTTTTAGGATGTAGAAAGGAAATGGAGAACAGCAAAATAAAGGTCAGGGCTCGATCAGAAGGTCCTGGCACCAGCTGGGAGAACACTGGTTTTATTTACTGGAGTTCTCTTAATGGAATATCACAATTTCTCGGGTTCTTATGAGTCACACAGGTGCTAGGAGCTGCTTGTACATCATATTCAAAAGCTAGGGATCAAAGCACTGCCCCCTCTATGCGCCTATGTGGTGCATGTAGCTGAAAAGGAAGTAAGGAGCTGGCAAAGCTGCAGTCCTCCTCCTTTCACACCAGTCCCCAGGCTCTTCCCAGTCCCTTTACCCCATACAAAGAGAGACCATGAGTAGCCCTCTGACCTTTTGCAAAAACCTTGGCTTACCTGACTGTTACAATGTGGTGCTGTACTGTCCGTGATTGATGCTGGTCATGTGACCACTGTTTCCAGTGACCTTCAGGGTTTTCATGGTGAGGAGCTGGCAAGGGATCCCCGCTGGAATGGTGAGAACACAAGGTGGCTCTCTCTCCATGCCCGGGTAGTGGGGGCAAAGCATAGCTGCCTCTAGGCTCTTGCTGGTTGCAATGGTAATACAAGTGATGCTGATGTGAATCCTGGGAACTGGATGGCACCTGGCCATTGGCTTGGGTGGAGATTGGTCCAAGCATGCAGCTGGAAGAAGGTAAGTGATCTCTCACCAAGCTGGGAGATGCAGCAATTGGACAGTGATGGACTGGACAACCTTTTTCCCAGGGCACTTCATTGTGGCTTGGTTCCGTCTTTCTGATTTCTGGCACAGTAAGACAGGGTTGGCAAGGTTCTGGGTTTACTTTTTCTCTGTAAGAGCAAAATGAGGGGTTTTAATATATAGCTAAGAGATGGAAAGGCTCTGCAAGAGATTGCATCTCCCAATCTAAAGATTTTGATAGATTAACAGATTTTCAACTCAGAATGAACCAGTATGATCACCTTGTCTGCCCTTCTGTGGGACATAGGCTTTGAGACCTCACCCAGTTTTTCCTGCATCAATTCCAGATCTTATGGTTGAACAAAGAAGATATTATCTTTAGAAAGACATCCAGGCTTGATTTAAAGCAGAGGTTTTCAAACTTTTTAGACTTGAGGCACCCATCATTTGACTTGAGGCCCTCCATAACTTTTGTGAATGGAGCAACACCCCATTTCAAAAAAGTAATTTGTTTATTACAGTGCTTAGCTCCTTGCAGAGGGGTCAGGCAGTGGAGGCAGGCCAGAGACCAGGCAGGGAGGAGCCTGAGCCTGGCCATATCTCCTTATACCTGCCTATCTCCTCCTACCTCCTGGATCCCTTCAAAAGATATTGCAACTTGCCAGCCTGCCCTGGCACCCTGGTTGAAAATCATTGATTTAAAGGGTTCAAGTGATAGAAAATCCTGGCAACATCTGTAGAGAAGTTGTTCCAATGTAGTCTATATACATTGGGTAGTATCCCTCTGTAGCAGAAGGGTGCAGTCCCCACCCCGGAGGCAGAGCCTGACCAACCTCCTCTGGGGAGAATCTTGAGAAGGTTCAGAGGAGGGTTCAAAGGAGGGCCTGCAGGTAAGGCCCTACAAGAAGAGACTGAGGGACCTGGATCTCTTCAGCCTTCACAAGAGAAGGCTGAGAGGTGATCTTTTGGCTGCCTATAAATCCATCAGCAGAGGGTAGCAGGGAATAGGATATACTCTATTTACTAGGGCACCCCCTGGTGTAACTAAGGACAATGGCCACAAATTGATGGAGAGCAGATTTAGGTTGGACATTAGAAAGAACTTCTTCACAGTAAGGGTAGCCAGAATCTGGAATGGGCTTCCAAGGGTGCTCTCCCTTACCCTTAGTGTCTTCAAGAGGAGACTGGACAAGCACCTAGCTGGGGTCGTCTGACCCCAGCATTCTTTCTTGCCCAGGGCAGGGAGTTGGACTTGACATACTGAGGTCCCTTCCAACCTTAACATCTATGAATCTCCTTGGGGGCTTGGCTGGATTCTGCCCCCATAGTGGGGGTTGCAGGAAGCTTTGTAGAGGCATCTGCCCCCCCAGGTTTCTGCCCTGCCATTGCTTCACATAAGGGAAGGGAAAACAATAAACAAAACCAAAATATACAGTGGGGCTGGTGAATCTAATAGGGGCAGGCTGGGGTTGTGGGGGAAATTAGAGGGGGGAAGGGGGCTGAAGCTTACTGAGCTACAGCCCCACAGGAAAAAAAAACAGGAGGGCTATGCTTGGGGAATGTGGGGGAGGGGGAAACACACATACAAGGGCTGGGGAGACTCAAACTGTCTTATTCAGCCACATAACAAACACCAGGGCAGGGGGAGTGGACCACAGAATTTACCATACAAATGTGAAAACACACGGTAAGGCTGCTGAGGCAGATGTGAAAGATGGCTGGGGTAGTGGAGGGACTTTGTTTGTTGAAGATCAGTCCAAGGCCTCCAGCCAGGCACTCAGTAGCGGAGAAATAAGCATGAAAACAAAGCAGGATCTGATGCAGTGAGGCAGCAGAAGCAATAAATTAGGGAGTAATCCAGTGCAGGTGTGGTGTTGAGTGGTGCAAGGTGGTGCAGCAGGGAATCTTCCTCTCTCCTGAGAGGGGGCAGCAGCAGAACAGATGGCAGCAGTAGCAGCAACAGCAGCAGCAGTGGTAGCAGCCATCCATTTCAGCCACTCAGGGTATGCTTCAGGTGAAACTGGAGGTGAAGGTGGGGGCTGGCCTGCCAAGGCATCTGGGGCAGGCAAGGCACCTTTAGGCTCCAGCAGTGATGGTGGGGGAGGGGCCCACAGGTAGTGCAGGCTCCCTCCCCAGGCTGTTCCCCCACCACGGCTTGGTGGTGGGCTGGGTAGCAGGCCAGAACAGGGGTGCAGAAGCTGGGGTGCAGTGCTAGGGTGTGGTGCTGGGGTGCGGTAGGCCTCTCCCTGAGTGGGGGCAGTGGCATGCATCAGAGGTCCTCCCTATGTGGGGGGGGCAGGCAGCAGCAGCCCAAGGCAGGAAGGGGTGTGGCCAATTTACCCCCAAAAGTGCTGAGAACAAGTCAGCAGCTAACAGTAGTCAGAGGCAGGAAGGGGCCTGGCCATCTTCTCCCCAGAAGCTCCTGAGACCAAGCCTGCAGCAACCAGCAGCAGCAGCAGCCTGGGACAGGAAGGGGCATGGCCAACTTCCTCCCAGAGGCTCCTCTCCCAGAAGTTCCTATTTGTCTATCCAATTACCATGGGGAAGGCCAAACTAGCTAACTAGTAGTCCCTTTTTACGGCTAATGGACGAATGCGCTAATGGACAAATGGAACAACTAAATTCTTGGAACAACTAATGAAAAAAACAGGAGTGTCATGTGGGTCAAAGGCAGTTAGGAAAGCCAAGGCAGAGACAGAACTAGGGATGGCAACCAGAATTAAGGATAACAAAATGTCCTTTTTCTAATACATATGGAGTAAGAAGAAGGCACCAGGTAACGTGGGGCCCCTACAGGACAGGCTTGGCAATCTGGTGATTGCAGCAATGGAAAAAACTGATCTCTTCAACAAGTTCTTTGCCTCCATATTTCTGAGCAGGAACCAGGACAACTCCCCAACTAGGATTATGGACAGGCTCAGGGGACATGATGCCATGCCTAGGGTCAGGGACGGTCTAGTTAGGGAACTTCTGGAGGAGCTGGATGTGTTTAAATTAGCAGGTCCAGATGCTCTTTATCTGAGGGTACTGAGGGAATTGGCAGAGGTCATAGCAGGGCCCCTGGCACAGCTGTATGAGTGCTTGTGGTGCTCTGGCCAGGTCCCAGAGGATTGGAAAAGGGCCAATGTGGTCCCCATTTACAAGAAGGGGAGAAAGGAGAATCCGGGTAACTATAGGCCAGTTAGTCTCACCTCGGTCCTTGGGAAGACCTTTGAGAAAATTATCAAGGAGCACATCTGCAGGGGCCTGGCATTGGAGGTAATGCTCAGGGGCAACCAACACAGGTTCATTGTGGGCAGATCCTGTCTGACTAACCTCGTTTCCTTTTACAACCAGTCACCAAGTCCTTGGATGCGGGCGTTGAGGTGGATGTCGTCTACCTGGACTTCAAGAAGGCCTTTGACACGGTTTCTCACCCCATTCTCATAAAAAAAACTAGGCGACTGTGGCATTGATGCCTACACAGTCAGATGGGTGGCAAATTGGCTTGATGGTTGCACCCAGAGACTGGTGGTGGATGGGTCATTTTTGATCTGGAGGGATGTGGACACTGGAGTTCCTCAGAGCTTAATCCTCGGGCCTGTGCTATTCAATATCTTTATCAGCAACTTGGAGGCGGGCCTGGAAAGCATGCTGTCTAAATTTGCTGGTGACACAAAGATGTGGGGAGAAGTGGGCACACTGGAGGGGAAGGACAGAATCCAGATCTAGACAGGTTACAAAGGTGGGCAGATAAGAATAGAAGGAATTCAACACAGACGAGTGCAGGGTAGAAGGAACCTGCAACACACCTATAGGCTGGGGAACACCCTTCTCAACAACACTGTGGCTGAAAGGGATCTTGGAGTCATTGTCAACTTCAGGATGGACATGAGCTGCCAATGTGAGGAAGTGGTCAGTAAGGCTAACCGCACCTTTTCGTGCATCTATAGATGCATCACAAGCAGGTCCAGGGAGCTGATCCTTCCCCTCTATGCAGCACTGGTCAGGCCACAGTTGGAGTACTGCATCCAGTTCTGGGCACCGCACTTCAAAAGGGATGTGGCTAACCTTGAGGGGGTCCAGAGGAGGGCCACTTGCACTGTCAGGGGGCAGCATGCCAGGCCCTATGAAGACAGACTAAAGGGTCTGAATCTATTCAGCCTCCACAAGAGAAGACTGAGAGGGGATCTGGTGGCTGTCTATAAACTCACCGGGGGGACCAACAGAAAATAAGTAAGGCTCTGTTCCCCCCGGGGCACCACCTGGGATAAGAAGGAATAAAGGCCACAAATTGATTAAGAGCAGGTTCAGGCTTGATATCAGGAGGCATTACTTTACGGTTAGGGCTGCCAGGCTCTGGAATGGGCTCCCAAGGGAGGTGGTGCTCTCCCAAACCTTGGGGGTCTTCAAGAGGAGGTTGGATAGATATCTGGCTGGGGTATTGTGATCCCAGCACTTGTTCCTGCCCAGGGCAGGGGGTCAGACTTGATGGTCTGTTCAGGTCCCTTCTGACCCTAGAAACTATGAAACTATGAAAGGGTCAAAACATGAAAATAAATGTGCCTGAGTGGGCCCCAGAATCTCCTGAGGGCAAGTAGCCCTGAGTTTCATGCCAGGGCAGCTTGTTATACTGCTGGGGTCAGCACAGGTGCTCTTCCCAGCTTTCAGCTCCCCCTGGCTGCAGATCTGGGATAAGCTGGGCAGGGTCAGTTTGCCCAAGTGGCCCAATTTGTCCCACACCAAAGTGCATGTTCAAGCACGTGTGCTGAGGCACAAATCTCTGATATAAATTTGTGGTGCTGCTATTGAGCTGCTGCATGTACATGTGCCTGCATATGTGGATAAGTCCTCTCTGTGAAAGTGAGCCATGAACTAGGTATTACAGGTCATTCCTAGCACTCAGTGTTACTTGGACAATATGCTCTTAACAGGAGCCAGCATTAACAAACGTCTTGAGAATTTCAGGGAGGTATGGTATTTGTCAGGCTGATTATAAGCTTAGAGTAAACAAAGTAAAATGTTAATTGGAAAAGGCTTTATTGTAAACATGCTGCCTTTGGAAATAGGGGACATAAATCAAATAACAAAAATTGAGGTAATCCTTAGGGCACCCAAGAAGCTTATAATACCTGAAAGGATTCAGTATGCTTTAATACATTGTTGCCTC